GGTCAAACCACTCAACTCGATCTTGTGCAAACTATAATGTGTTAACTGAAGTTACTAAGATTGCTGTGCTGTGGCAGCCATCTTGAATGAACTCCAAAAGTTATGTTATGGTCAACCCAATGATTGCTTTCTGAAAGTAAAGAAAAAAAATACATTTACTGATTCMTGAGATATTTTGCCATCACTACAGACAAAAACATGCAAAATGTCAAACAAAAGTAAAAATAAATGACAGAAAATGGGCCTATAAAAGAGGTCAACTAAATATGGACTTAAAAGGAGACATATCAAATGTTTAAATATTTTACCTGTTTAAATTAATAGTTTTTTTAATAACCTGTCTGCGGTGCATGTTCAAAATCACACCAAACCATCAATAGTTACAACATTYACCCGCTCACCTCAAGCATTTTATTTGTTTGTGTTCTGTAATGACAGTCTGTTGCTGAAAGTCTGTTGCTGCCGTGTGCAAATGTGTGTTTACATGGTGACATAAGGATTCAAAGTGGGCTCAGCTGGGAAGAACTAATGTATACAGTATGTGTGAGCATTCGAACACCTGAGGCACAGACTKTAAATACTGAAAAACACTGTAAACTTTTATCTTTTATTCATCCTACACTGTGCCACTGATATATTTCATATCTGCATGAATTATTCTTTTTATCATTAAATTTAATCCTTTGGATGCATCACATCATGTCTTACCGTCATTCTCTACCTCTTCTGTTTATGTGAAACGTTTAGTTCTCCATGAACTTTCTCGTGAATTGGATTTAGCTAAAATGCCAAGTGAAAAGGTCAGAGTTACYGTAGCAATCCATATATGCTACATCAAAGATGGCTGACATAAGAGTGAAATTAGGTTTTAATGGAAATGTGTTTGGGGAAAAATGCTGGTAGGGGGTTTAATAGATCATGAGAATCATTTGATCCAACAATTCAGTTTCCTTCGCCGCTCCCTAGGTCTTCGGGGACGTCTGTCAGRGAAGTTTACTCAAACATCTGTTTTCACTCTGCACATCCTTTATGTGTGTGTAGCTGCAGAATGAGCAGGTACGCTGTTTGTTCTGGAGGAGTAGCTCCAGGAAGCGTAGAGGAAATAAAGACACAGAAACACGACGAGCAGAGGACAGCTGATATTTTAATCATGTGGGTGGGTTGCTCTGTAAACTCTATTTAAAGCCTGGCAGCATCTGCTCAGCACCCCTGTGTTTTCATCTGGTTTGGTTAGCTGGCACTGAGGGAAACACACACACACACACTCGGTATACAACCTCTCTCTGCCTTTCAGCACTTTTTGCCTCTAGTTTCACAGTTTGATTGAACCAGCAGATGTGGAGAGGGCAAACAGCTCACAAACTCCTTTTTGTAACAACTTACGTTACCTGATATTCAAAAAGAAAAGATTAAAATGTGTTTCCTTGTTATGTGTGTGATTTCACTTTGTAGTAACAGCACATCAATGGGAGGCGCTTATATCAAACAGTGCTGCAAGGGGTTTTGTATCGACATTCTGAAGAAAATTGCCAGGAACGTCAAGTTTACTTACGATCTCTACCTGGTCACCAACGGAAAACATGGGAAGAAGATCAACAACGTGTGGAACGGCATGGTTGGAGAGGTAGTGCCCACTGCTTGGTCAATAAAGTGGATTGTGTCGCTCTGTTGGATGTAAAAATGGGACAGTAGATGTATCGCTCAGCTGTAAAACCAGCTCCATTGGATTTAATGTGTGCTGTATTTATCGTCTTACATTTCACAGAATGTATTTTGGTGAAGTTATGGAGTGAAAAAGACGTAGATTCATACAGTTAAAGACTTTAATGAGCATTAAACGGTCAAGGACATGGTGAAATAATTTAGCAGAGGTGTAAAGTAACTAAGAGCATACACAACTTTACTTAGTAAACTATGATAATAAAAAGTGGTGAGGTGGATAAATTCTCACAACTGTAAGCAATTAGCTGGTTGACCCACTCTTCGTGCAGAMGGCACATAAGCTAGCTACGAGCTTTGAGATGTCTATTTCAAAGCCAAAAATACAGAAAAGATTTAGACAACTGACAAGAAAGTGGACTAAAAATCCTGTTGTGTTTACTTTGTCAACAAAACAATCATGTGCGGCATGATTGGTGTGATTAAACAACACAATGGGAAAAGAAACTACAAGTCAAAGCATCCCACTTTTTCTGCATTTTTTTCCTGAAGAACTGGAAGAATAAAGAGGTAAAGTGTAGGAGGTRCTCAAATGTTTTCCACCAAAGTCAAGTGGCCATCGGTTACCAAACAAAAGCTCTATCAACAAGTAGCTTAGACAATATAAAAGTGACATTGTTTTAGGCCGAAAACATGAGAGGCAGCCTGTTTGCTGTCTTGTGTGAAGTTGTGATTTGAAAATAAAAAGTTTTATAATTTATTTGGCTCCAAAACTTTGACTATTTTTTTTGAATGTGACCCATTTGCATTAAAAGCTGAATAAATCTTTAGATCCTATAGACCCTCAAGAAGGAAGGGAGGGTGTGTTTTTTTTTTCATGTAGTTTAATGATCCTGAGGCTGMARGTTTGAGTCCAGGAGTAGAGCGAGCGTCAAATCTTTCATGTCAATTTGCTCTCTGTTTCGACCCCTTCAGAAGGGAGCAGCCGAAAGAAAATCAACTGTAAACATTATCAAGTAAATGCTACCTGAGTTCTTACTCTCCTTCGTACCATTTCTTGTCTGAAAAACAAATCTGTCAACGTCAAAACTGCTAATGAAATCTTACSTTTTGATCCATTTTCGAGGTAACATTTACCAGAGCAGGATGTTTGAAGTTTTTCAAACTGATTAAATTTTAAAGGAAATGACATCTCTTACATAAAAAAACAACATTAAGAGCAGAATGACTGTCTGAATGCATTCAGACAGAAATGTCAACTCTGCAAAAAATAAAATAATAAAAAAGAAAGATAGCTGTATTTTCGTTTTTTATTTSATACAGCTGAAAGTGCCCTCCAACAACGGATGACATTTCGTGGAGTCATTTTGATATTTTACATCCAAAATAAAACAAGAAGGAAACGTCTCCAAGGATAAACTGTATGATCTTGTTCAAATATGTAATAAATAATAGTGAGTCATCAGTGTAACTCTGGTTTTATTGATTTGTCAGGTGGTGTATAAGAAGGCCATCATGGCYGTCGGGTCGTTGACCATAAACGAAGAGAGGTCAGAGGTCATTGACTTCTCTGTGCCCTTCGTCGAGACTGGGATCAGCGTCATGGTGTCACGGAGCAATGGAACCGTCTCGCCTTCTGCCTTTCTTGGTAAAGTTTTCCCTCCTTTTTTTTCTTCCCAGCTGTACTCCCCCACCCCCACCCCCACCCCCCTGGTGAGCAGACTATYAGGGACACAATAACAGGGAGGTGCCTACATGTTGGCAAAACTCCCGAACATTGACTAGAATATTTTATTTAGACAGTACATGCTGGCCAAATTTCTCTTGTACTCTGACTTTACTGTATGTAGGACTCAACACCCCGAGCACATTAATATTTCTACCAGAGCACAGCAAGTGGAGCATGCCAGCTGTTTTTATTTTATTTATTTTTTCTTTCCAGTTGTTGAGATGACTAGAAACCGAAGCRTTCCTCCGTGCTTGCCTAATGTCTTGTATTGTCATTGGAGCGAGACAGAGAGCGAGGGGGGTGTATTGGACCATGCTTGTGTCGGCCCCTCTTTATCGAGCCATGTGTCAGAACTCCTGTGTGTAAAGAAAAGAAAAAAATAAAAACAAGTTTGTGTGATACAGTGCTAATGTATGGGGACATTTGTGTATTGAGTCGAGTGGAGAATGTGGCCGTGTTTATGTTCAGGGCTGAATGATGTGTGTGTGTGTGTGTGTGTGTGTGTGTGTGTGTGTGTGTG